CCTTCCTTCCTTCCTTCCTTCCTTCCTTCCTCCCTTCATTCCTTCCTTCCTTCCTTCCCTTGCTCACCTGATAAATATTTGTTCTGTAGCCGATATGTATTGACTGCAGTCCTGGACACTTTAGAAAGAACAGTAAGCGCATAGCCCATGCCCATGCCTTCCTGGAGCTTATGCTCTAGAAGGTGGAAATAGATAGTAAACCAAGACATAAGTGTTGAGGAAATGTAGAAATTCACCTATTCACTCTGCTGTCAGGCCCCCACCTGTGATAATTCTTGGGACCCCTGCCAGGTTGCTAGAAAAGATAGGTAGTGACCATGGACAAGGTTCTTGCTGGCAACCATCAGAGTTTAATCCCTAAATCTCTCACCAACTTTATCTTTCTCTGACAGGTCACTCCTAACCAAAGACCCTTCCAACGAGAAGGTTCCAGAAGGTCTGCTCTGGGCCTGTGCAGAGGCAAGCAGTTGAGACCTGAGGCAGGAACCCTTCGCTGTCTGTGAATTCCATCTCTAGCCAGGTGAGGGCTCCTTATTCATCTGAAAGATGTGGCTGCAACCTTGGCTCTCCAGGCCAACAGGCAGGGCTCCATACACTTTTACATTTCTCTATTCTATGTTCAGCTGTTTAAAGCATAACACATATTCACACAGATTCCCAATTCAAAAGGAATCTTTATGGTGAAAGCACTCACCTGCACTCAAGCAGGCTGGGTTTGTTCTGCCCGAACTGAATGTGTAAAATTCATCCAGCTATGTACAATACTTGCACACTCATCTGTGTACATTTTGTCTCAAGTGAAAAAGCTGCCTGTGAGCTATTCATTACTTAATAGCAATAGACTTTTGAAACACAAGAATAGAAAGCATGCTTTTTTAAAAAACAGACATTATTTTTAACAATGTTCATTGAAAATGATGGTTGCACTCTTCAAAAAGATATCCATGTTTAGCTTCTTTTTTAAAATTTTTATTAGTTATTGATGGACCTCCATTTATTTATTTGTTTATATGTGGTGCTGAGAATTGAACCCAGTGCCTCACATTTGCTAGGCAAGCGCTCCACCACTGAGCCACAACCTCAGCCCCCATTGTTTAGCTTCTAAATAAAATATCTTTAATACAAAACACTTCTCCCTCCCTGTCTCTCAGCCTCCAGGTCCCACCACTGTGGCCAGCTTTGCCTGTCCACCCAGAGAGGCTTGGCGCATGGACAACCAAGCAGAGACTCTGCAAATGGTATTTTTCCTGTTTGTTTGTTAACCTGAACGGTAACATCATATACATAATGCCTTGAACATTTCCTTTTTCACTTAGTAGTTTCTTAGAAGTCTTTTTACACCTGCCATTGGAAATTGTCCTGAATTTTTGTCCTGAAAATGACCCACAGGGTTTCTGTTCAATTCCCTACTGACAGCAGTTTGGGTTTCTCCCATTCTCCTGTTAATGCAAACACGGACATGGGTCACAGTACTTGTTGTGAATATATCTAACAGTAAATTTCTAGATGAGACATTTCTGCATCAAAGAGTGATTCTGCCAGCTCCCTCCCATATTTCTTCCTTTAGGGGGCTAACAACCTTGCTTGTGAGAGTTGGCCTTCCATGGCTATACCCACACTGGCTTTTGAACTTTGCCAACCTAATAGAAGAAAAATATTACCTTCTCATTATGAGAGAAGTTGAACATCTTTTCATATGTTTATGACCCACTTGTTGTCCCTTTTCTGTGAACTGCCTTTGACTTCCATCTATGACAATTAAGACTTTAGAAAGGCTGCATGGTGGCCTGGGCCGAGGTGATCATATTTCCACATGGACTGCAGCCCTGACCTCTTCTTCATGTGTGGGCAAGACCCTCTGTCTGGAGAATGGGTGGTTCTAGGTGGCAGGGTGATGTAAGCAGGGATAAGAGCATCTGGCTCTCAGTCCAGCTTTATTCTTCTGAATAAGTTCATTAACCTCTCCCTGCCTCAGTTTCTTAATCTAAAATGGAGTTGATATAAGGTTGTTTGAAGTGCTTCAAGGGTGCCTGGTGTGGAGGAGGTGCACAATAAACATGAGCTCGTTTGCAA